AAACTATTGTAGTGTAGGTACATGTGGTTCAAAAACTTACTGATTTGGAACGGCCAATGTCCATTTTCATCTTGTGTCTGCACCTTGACCTGGTGATGACCCAGCACTATAACGCCCATGGGCTCGTACCATGGCTCCGGCCCTTTTAAGTAGAACAGCAGATTCCCTCTAAGTCGGAACCATCGCACCGAGCATCCTGTAAAAATAAATGTGTGAGTATGGGTATTTCAAAAGATTAATGATAAATAAATACAATTAGTGCCAAAGAATAATGGAAAACAACTAGAAAACCATTGCCACTCTGTTGCCACATGTGCATGTGTCTACCCTCAAAAGATTACCACTAAACACCAAAATTTACAAAACATTTTAATATTAAATGGAGTATTTTATAAAATGTATGGTAAAAATTAATTAGGCAGGTAATAATATGCAAAAATGTATTAGAGGTTCAAATCAATTTGTTTTAGAAGCATGTCTAACCATGTGCTTACACATGGTGAAATGGTGGTACAATTACAAAATATTAAATTAATATTGAAATTACAATAAACAAATATAGATATTAAACTTTAAAATAATAATGTGTAAGAGTAAACTTAGAGCAAAACTGGCAGAGGCTGGACAAGGCTACACATGAATTAGAGAGCTTACTAGTTAGGATGACGGTGTGGAAAAAGACCAATTAAATGTCCACAGGTCCTTAAGTAGCCCGTATCATTCATTCAATATTTTTAAAAGAGTGTAAATTAGAGGGTAGTCACATATTTCGAAGTTTTTTTTTTCATCTTTTTTTTACTGGCAATTATTGTAGGATTGATTAACTTTGAAACATAAATGTCATAAATAATATGGAATTAAAAAAAAACTCCTTTTTTTACTCTAGCTTTGACTGATGCTATGAAACCATGACTATGAATTTGAATTTGATAATTTTACATATTATGACAAAAACAAAATTGAAACAATACAAGTTCGAATATCTAGAGCCTAATCAACATAAAATATACAGAATGAGGTAAATCATCAGCATGCCACTACTTATATTTGCAAATTTACAAAAGCCAACAATATAGAGGCAAGCACGCGAAACTAGCGGCGAACTATTGTTTTCACTATTACATGGGGAAATGTAAAACGCAAACTGCAAGAAACAGCTATGTACTGACCTTCAGATCTGCGAAAAAATCCATCCTGCCGCTCCTTCAACACCAAAACACCCTCGCGATCAAAATTCTGCGAGGTCTGCGATGCCAATGCAAATAATTCTTGTTTATTGTAACGCATTATGATGACATTACTTAATACACTGCTCAATAATCTTTACAGTACTCTATTTATAGAGAAATTCGTTTCGAGGTGTGATTGGAAACAAAACATCGCTGGAAGACTAAAATAAATACTTCAATAATTTACAAGTTCAAGCCATAAATACCAAAGAAAGCTAAATTTAGTTAGATTAACATGTTTAATTCATTTTTATGGGCGTTTCTTTTTAAATGTATCGCTAAAAATCTATAAAAACAAAATAGCGAGAAAGAAACACTACGCAGCTCGACAAAGTAGAAAAACTGTCCACAGCAGTGTTGCCAGTCGGGTCTAGTCAGAAATTACCAGAAATATAAAAAAAGTAACCTTTTCAACCGACTTCAAAAAAGGAGGAGGTTCTCAATTCGTAGATAGAGAATAGAGGTAGATGGGTCATTAGCGTACACCTGAGTGAGATAGCAATATATCTACATACCATATCTATAGCTACAACAATAGACTTAGTATTGGCTACGTTAAAAATTACCCTGATTTTAGGGGTAAATAGGTGAGCTGCGGGTGAAACTGAGGCGCAAAATCTAGTAAGTATTACTATAAAGGTGAAGTGAAAGTTTGTGTGTATGTATGTTTACCTTTTTACGCTTAAACAACTGGATGGACTTGATTGATGGCGTGTGCGTGCAAGCTTTTTTCTATATTTAAGAGGTTAAACTGAGTTTTTGAGGATTTAAATAAAAAACCACTTTAATATAATACTTTAATCAGTAAAAGTTAGGTGGTGCAACTCACCCTATTGGTTTTCGATCGAATCCAAGCTTATCACCGGGGTTTTAGTAATCGCAATGAAAATGGCGGGTGTTGCGATTCGATTCGATTTTGATTGAGTCTTAAATGCATGTTGGCTAAGCCTTTGTATGGGAAATTTCAATCCAGTCTTTCGATTATCGATAGGTAGGGCTTTGCGATTCGATTTTTTGCCGTTTGACTAAGCCTTTTTTGTTATCGACCTCTTTTGCGATTTGTTTATTTGTTTGCGACTGGTTTGCGATGGGTTTGCGATTTTAAAGTGCGTTTTGACTAGACCCGCTGAAAGAAGTAAGAAACTAATTTAAAAAAAAAAGCTAGAAAAAGTAAAAACAATCGCAAAGTCATAGACATTTTTTAACTTTTATTCGATTTTGAATGAACTTTTATATCGCCGCGTCGTTGGTGGTTCAATGTGCATTTTGGCTGCCATTTTCCGATCGAATCGAATTACTGGTGACGCGGCGACTGACATTAATGAAAACTTCCTATTGATTTGCGATGGCATTTTGACTAGACCCACTGTGCGTTTCTCAGTAGACGTCAACGAAAACACAGACATGAATGACATGTGTTTGCTCAAATGTTTTCCCAAAGATTTTGCAAATATTGTCTTTGGATTTGGAAGTTTTCTATTATAGCCTGTGGGTCTAGTCAAAATGCCATCGCAAACCAATGTGAAGTTTTCACTAATGTCAGTCGCCGCGTCACCAGTGATTCGATTCGGTCGGAAAATGGCAGCCAAAATGCACATTGAACCACCAACGACGCGGCGATATAAANGCCTTGCAGATGACAGCTCGCTAAAGCGATGCCTTTCCGAGTTGATAAGTCTGCTATGACCTTTATCCTCTCAGAATTGTTCATAAGAATTAGTTAGATGGTATATAAATTAGTGCCATTGGAGTATATTTTTTTGAACAGAAAAGTACCTACGTAAATATAGCTTTACATGTTGTTGATTTATAAATGAGTTTTACTATATTTTCTATTCTTTTATTCAAAGAGTTATAATAAATTGTTGTTGGTTATGTTTTTCAGTTGATTAATGTAGGAATTGAAAGGCGGTTGTATTTCTTCAGCTTTATTTGTAATTTTCCGGGATAAACCCGTCGTATTTCAATCGTCATCTGTTCTGTCTTCTTCTAAAATCACATCTTTCTTACTCACTCATTCATTCATTCCTTCTCACTCACTCCCTTGCGTTCCGCTCACTCACTCATTCATTCCTTCTCACTCACTCCCTTGCGTTCCGTTTCACACTCCCACACTAATTTGACGAGTTTTCGTATAAATTGGACCTAAGAAACTAAAATAGGCTAACAAATTGTCAAAAATACTTAAAAATGTTGAAATTAATTTTCATTTTCCTTGACTAAAATTTACGTATATTTCAAAATGTTAAAGTGATTTATAATATTACTAGTCTAGTGTGTTCATGATGTTTTTTACCAAAATTATTTTTATTTACTACATTTATAAAATGTTTTTACTACAGGTTTGGTGTATTACAAATAAATGTATAAATATTAATTATAAAGATATGCATATCTTTAATGTTGTTAATTCTTTACTGCGGTAATAACTTTTATTACTAATATCGGTGAATTTATGATTAATTTATTACGTTGCGAAATAACGGTATTGTTATAACGAATGAATGTGCCAAATATTATCTGTTGCTATGTCAAATTTTGTAGCTTTACGTTAACAAACGATTCTCGAAGACTGCTAAATAAGCTTGTGTAAGCCCTAGACAAAATGACATACGTGACAGATAAAATTTCGAAATCGCTTCGCTCCACCTGTCACGAAGGTCAATTTGCTTAGGGTTCCAGAATGTTAGATAGTACATACTGACATAATATTTATATTGTTTAATTTATATTAAAAAGCTGTTAAAAAGAAGAGTTGCGAATATATTGTCGATACATTATCAATGGTTCAAGTAACACATTGTTACTGCTTTTTTTTTCTTTTCTTTTGACGTTATTAGACCTATTTTAGTCAAAATTGATTACTTAGACATTTAATTGAATCGATTATTTTAGGTAATCTAAAATATCGATATTGTAGATTTACAACACTACTGGAACCGTATTTTTATTGGGAAGTGGTTGAATGGGAAATAAATCTATGTCATCAGCATAAATATGAAATATTTTGTAAATAGGTATCATTTCGTTAATTCGCTGTTTAGTTTAAGATTTTTATAAGAATATTACGATTTATTACGAAAGAAATAAAATTTATTTATTATTTCTCTGTTGTCTTATTTCTATTCCAAAAAATGAATAAATACATTTATTTTCAGCAGCCAAGTACAAAACTGCCGGCTAAATTGCTATTGAAAAAGAAACAACATTGTTAGGTATAAAATAAGTTTATAGTGATATTTATTACAATATTTACAAAAGTAACTAACATTCTTCTAGATACAAATACAATAAAGTAACATTTTTCCTTATTAACTTATTCTGAAAGTTCAAAACTGGATTCACTCCTGTGATTTTTCATGAAATATTGTCGCTCAATCATTGGTTTGAATATTCTAAAATTACGGGCTAAATCTACGCTAAATATTCTAAGTAATTTTGTACTTTTTTATCCACTTTACTACCTACGTTATGTACTATCGGCCACTTTTCCAGCTACCCATTTCCGTTTTTTCTCTCGCTCTCATCAAATAGTGATTCTTTGCGATAGAACGAGACGACATGAACGGAAATGGGGAACTGTGGTCCATAGCACAGAATAATAATAAGTACTACGTCCATAGTACCTAAGGTTGTAGGAATAGCTTTCCTGCCTAACCCTCAAATTGTGAAATTAATTTGGTACATGCAAATTAACTTTTAAGTAATTAAAATTAATAATTTTATATAAACTGGGCACAATTATGCAAAAAGAAAAAACATTTGCAATGCTTTTAAAAAAAATATTTGGTGAAATTCTTTCTTTTTACTCGACTGCGCCAGAAGGAGGGTTACATTTTTTAATTAAGTCTTTCCAGTAAGTTATTTTACATCCATACACTGATGTCTTTACAGGATTCTCTATCGCTTAACATTTGTATTGAAAGTTAATAAAATCGGCCATGTTCTCTAGTTCACTGGTTTGTATAGAAAAGGTTCAAAAGTCGGCCATGTTTCGTAGTTCACTGGTAGTCCTTAGAGGGCGGTAGCGTTGCCAGGTAATCGAGCGCTCGCTGTATGGCCGGCGGGATTGGTGGTGGGGTGGGTAGATGCGCTCCTTGGGGCTGGAAACCGTTTTCATCAGCTCTGTAGAGCAGGTTGATTACCTGGGAACACAAATTGAGTGGTTAACGGGACTATTCCCACTTCTCGTTCCCACCGCTGCAACTCCTGTGTAGCCAGGATCTACAGCTTGACGTTGACCGTCAATAAAAACCGAACTAGTGAAGGCCAAGTTTGTCCCGGGGGAAAGTTATTGTCATTGGACCCGCAACGAAAATAATCAGAAGAACATAGGATGAAGATTCCACCCGGTTTTCACCAAAGCGGATAGGAGAGCGACGACCTGATAAAGGTAGCAGGAAGGCGCTGGATGCAGGCCGCTACCAACCGTGCGATGTGGAAGTCATTGGGGGAGGCCTATGTTCAGCAGTGGACGTCCTGTGGCTGAAATGATGATGATGATGATGCTGGAAAGGAGAGATGTGTTTGAAATACCAATAAGTTTTCATTATTTCTCCACTTAACTTCGGTTCGGAAAACTGTTGGTTGTTTTTGAGGATGAGGATGTTTTTGAGACGTCAAACGTCAGCGAGACTTCAGATATGGTTCAGATTTGTACGCTCTGTCACGTTACGTCATCATATTTATTTATTTATTTAACTATCAAAAATCATATATCTAACATTACAGGTTACCCCAATGCGATAGAAGATTAATTAGTAAATATCGCCCGTTTCGTGCCACTCCCATACCTCAGGCACCTAAGTTATACGCTAGATCTATAAATTACCAGCCGGGCTAGGATGCGCGCCGTGAAAAAATCTTATCGATGATTTTAGACGACAAAAGTATGGGCTTATCGCGTAAAATCGATAAAACTGCGTGATAAACGCTTATCGCGGTGCGTATCCTAAGCCTACTGATGTAGATTTTCTTATTACCTGGCCATCAGGCGCCACGTACTGGTACTGTCCTTCCACCACCAGCGCCGGCTCTCCCGACGAGCTGGGCTGCAGGGACCCTCGCTGCTCGTGGTAGATTCCTCCTTCTGGAGATTAAGAGTACAAAATAGATTGTGAAGACAAACAATAGAAAACGAAAATAGGAGTAGTGGACAGAAGTCTTAATTCAAAAGGTTCTTTTTGGAAGAGCTTCTTCAAGGCGAGAGTGAATAGGCAATTACAGGGCAGGTATGTACCATCCTAGACTGCATGTTTTTTTTATCCACAACGAGGAAGCTCTTGGCCTGTATCTCACCTCATGGTAAGTGATGATCAGGCCGAAGGTGGAAGCGAGCTTCACCCGGAATCCTCAACCACGGAGGAACTGGCTATCTTACCTCTAACTGCCGGAACACAACAATGCTGTTAACATTGTTATGATGGTGGTAGCTAGCCAGGCGAACAAGCCCTACCACCAACCAAACCGAACAGAAAGATCTGCCCCCACTGGGAATCAAACCCGGGACCTCTGCGTCTGAAGCAGGTGGTCTTACCACTAGACCACAGAGGCAGCTATACCTATCATTTATCATCAGGTGTTGATTGCAGTCAAATAACCTACTTTTGTTCTGCATAAAAAAAATTGTGAGCTGGATAACCAGTACGTGCATTCCTTTCAGTGATATTACTTAGTCCAGTGGTTCCCAAAGTTGTCTGGGCTACGACTCGTCTAATACAAGTTCCCAAACTCAGGACCCACCTATAGGAAATTTCGCCCGCTGCCCAGCGGTTGGATCGGTAGGGTGGTGTGTCGTTCTACAGCAGTGGTTCCCAAACTTATTTAGTCTACTGCCCACTTTGAGAATTTTAGCCCCCCATTTTTGTAGTCAAGAGTCGAGCTCAGTCGATGTCTAAAAGTCCTCCTAGTAGATGATGACGCCTCCCAAGCCTCTACACAACGTCCCGATTTTTTTCTGGGTCTCTTACCGCCCCCCTTTAAGCCTGCAGCGCCCACAAGGGGGCGTTATCGCCCACTTTGGGAAAGACTGTTCTACAGGCAGGGCCCACTCAATGTTCGCTCGCGACCCACCACTGGGTCGATACCCATAGTTTGGGAAACCCTGACTTAGTCGATGACGCGGACGTTTTCTTATTATAGCTATAGGTAGGTACAGATTAAATGTCACAATAGAAGAAGAAGTTACCAGTTTGTATGGCCCACTTGTAGGAGCCGTCTTCATGGGGCCCGTCGAAGTCGTCCCTCATGATGGCTTCTGTTCGCTGACAGCAAGCCGAAGATAAGCTGACTGCAAGCTGGAACAAGTAAATTAGATAACAAAAATGGTTCATAAAACAGCATCGTGTCTATAACATGATAGTTAAAAACCACGAAACGAATTTCCATACGGTTTTAATAATTTGTTAATCCATTTGTGAATAAGTAATCAATCTAGTCTCGAACTAGGCAAAAATATATAAAATATAAATATCTTTGGACAATTTCACACAGCGCTATCTTGCTAGTAATGCGACGTAGTGCCGCGTACGGTAGGTACGGAATGGAAAATTCGGGCACATTTCCCGACGCGACGTGGAGAAAATTCCAAATAGCTAAATACTTATCTTTAGTATCGCGGTACTCACTAGAAACTATGTAATAGAAGTAGGTAGGTAAGTAACACGCGAGTGAGTTATAAAAATCGAAATAAAGGACTAACTGGGAATCGAACCTGTATCTACGCCACGAAATGGTGTATGACCAGTTAAATCTTCTTGTTTTTCAAATTACACATTGATATTTGTAAAATTAATTTATAAGGTCTATTGAATTCTTGATTAAAATGTAAACTTGAAAAATTAATATTAATGACCTCATTATACGTTAATTTAAACTACACCATTGATGAGACCCGACATATTTCTCAATAGAGTCATCCAATTTAACAAATCAACGCTTCATCAAATTATGTTAACTAATTAGTTTTAGCCGCCGCGGCGCGGCGGCTTCGCTTAGACATGATCGTCAACGTCGTGACCATGAAATGCAAACAAACAAATGTCGTATCTTTTTTATAAAGGTTTTAACTAGAAACATAGTTTAAGGCTGAGTTGCACCACCTAACTTTGACCGTAACTTTGACGATAACCGGTGCTTTGAAAATGGATTTTGACAGATTTTTGAAGTTTGTCAAAGTTAAAGTAAGATGGTGCAACCCACCCTTAATCTCGAGCTAAGGCTAACAACATCTCTTATGTCTCTTATCGTCAGGCTGGTTTCCATAAAGGTGGAGCGGGCCGTCTTTTTCTATAGAATTTGACAGCGGCGGCGTCACGGCGCGGACCGGATCTGTGCGGAGCGGAGAGAAGTGGAAATAATGAAATCTGATTGGTTAAGTATTCAAAACACTTCTCCGCTCGTCTCCGCCTTGATGGAAACAGGGCCTGCTGACACAACTCACTTAACTCATGGGTCATTTAACATAAGCAGCTCCTATTTGAGAAAGTGGAAGGCAAACAAAATTGTTATTAGATTGATTGATGTAGGTCTCCTCGTTCGTACTAGAGAAAACAGAACATTCGTCTCAGAGAAAAAAGAACATTCGTTAAAGAGAAAAGCGAACATTCGTCTAAGAGAAAAGAGAACATTCGTCTGAGAAAAGCGAACATTCGTATAAGAGAAAAGTGAACATTCGTCTCAGAGAAAAGCGAACATTCGTCTGAGAAAACAGAACATTCGTATAAGAGAAAAGTGAACATTCGTACAAGAGAAAAGAGAACATTCGTCTCAGAGAAAAGCGAACATTCGTCTCAGAGAAAAGCGAACATTCGTCTGAGAAAACAGAACATTCGTATAAGAGAAAAGTGAACATTCGTCTCAGAGAAAAGCGAACATTCGTCTGAGAAAACAGAACATTCGTATAAGAGAAAAGTGAACATTCGTCTGAAAAAACAGAACATTCTTATAAGAGAAAAGCGAACATTCGTCTAAGTGAAAAGCGAACATTCGTACAAGAGAAAACAGAACATTCGTATAAGAGAAAAGCGAACATTCGTTAAAGAGAAAAGCGAACATTCGTCCGAGAGAAAAAAGAACATTCGTCTGAGAGAAAAGTGAACATTCGTATATAGTTCTGACATTATGGCGAGTTAGCAAAAATATTAGCTAGGGGAACAGACGTACTTATGTTGTCTTGTCAACTTGTCACCCACCAGTGATATGTGATATTTATGCATATATTAAGGTTCACTGACTAATAAACAAAAGAAATACTAACCGAATTCGGTCCATCTCCAGGATCAATTTAAGATTCGAAACCTATCCAGTTGCAACGAGGGGTGACAGGGAGATGTCATATCTCCGAAACTGTTCACCAGCGCCATTTGTTTGTAAACTAAAAAAGGTGGATTTATTGCTTAAAGCAGTCTTAGCCAGTCGACCTTTCATACTTATCAGAATTAGTAAGATTCTATTGTTAATGTTGGTCTCGAAGCGCTAAGGGTAAAAAGATTATGAGACATGTAGAGGCTCCAAGAGCAAAATATTTGACGATTTGTAAGTAGGTAGCTATAAAGAAATAAATTTTGACATAGACTTTATTCACTTCGTTCAATACTTTTGCTTGTACAGGAATAGAACTGGCGACCTCTAAATCGTCACATTTTATTATTTCATAATATAAAACAATAAAATCACATAATTCAAACATCGCATTGCCTAACCGCCCTTGAAAATACATTAAAATGTAACGTCAATAATATTATTTTTATAACCAGTTTTTTTCTAAATATTCATACTGTCACAAAGAATGAATTTAATGTGGGTTTCGTAATGTATATGTATTATATAATAGAACTTCAATGTTATAAAAACATTGATATTATGTACCATTAACCTATACCTACGGGTAGCCTACCGCCTCTGTGGTCTAGTGGTAAGACCACCTGTTTCAGACGCAGAGGTCCCGGGTTCGATTCCCAGTGGGGGCAGATTTTTCTGTTCGGTTTGGTTGGTGGTAGGGCTTGTTCTAAGTCCGCCTGGCTAGCTACCACCATCTTACCTAAGTCTGTCGCCATAACAACAATGTTAACAGCATTGTTGTGTTCCGCCAGTTAGAGGTAAGATAGCCAGTTCCTCCGTGGTTGAGGATTCCGGGTGAAGCTCGCTTCCACCTTCGGCCTGTACCTCTAGTAGGAAAAACTTTCGAGTTCGTTTCGTTGCGTATTCAAAGTGTCATCGAAAAATTTTGTATGAAAAATTAAACAGCGCCCCCTAGGGCGGCTATAATATAGGGGGCGCTGTTTAATTTTTCATACAAAATTTTTCGATGACACTTTGAATACGCAACGAAACGAACTCGAAAGTTTTTCGTACTAGAGGTACTGATCGTCACTTACGATCAGGTGAGATACAGGCCNAAAAAAAAAAAAAAAAAGCCCTAGTGATGCTGTTACCTCTGGGCTACGGCTTGACACTACTTTTTGGGATACTCTGTATAAGTACTAGTTACTAAGTACATAGTACATAAAAAGCTGGATTATTGTAGTGAACCCACTCACAACACAGGCATATTTTTAGGTTAGCACGAGGGGTTTTATGGTACTATTAAATTAAATAAATAAAAAATGAGTCAAAATTCATACTAAATATTTTCAAATCTCAAATAAGCAGTGGGAGATAACATAGCCAGTTCCTCTGGTTGAGGATTCCGGGTGAAGCTCGCTTCCACTTTCGCTTCGGCCTGATCATCACTTTTTATAATAGATGAGATGCAGGCCAAGAACTTCCATGATATGAGTTTTTTTTAAGTTTATTAATTAGTATTTTCCATGATAGCAGGGCCGGATCGTGAATTTGTGGGGCCCTGGGCTGAAACTTCTTATGACGTTGTCACGTAAAAATATCGTCCGTAAACCGACTTTACAGACAACTTTTTTTTTTTTCAAATTATGGCCTACTTTTTAGCGGGATCTGGGGGCCCCTTGTAACCCCGGGGCCCTGGGGTGCAGCCCAATCAGCCCATAGGTAGATCCGGCCCTGCATGATAGGTATATTTTGTTCTTCCGGCTTATGTAACCAATTAAAAAGGTCAGGAAATCAAGTAAAATTATGTGGTTTTCAAAATATTCAAAATGCATTAAATAATAAGAGATTGCAACAATTTTATTACATAGTTAATAGTCGCACGCACTAGCGTGTTATGTAAGACCTCCGCATTTTGAATGTTTCTAGAGTTATTCTAATAAATAATATAGAAATTTAATTAAAAATATCCATTTATGACATTTTACGCGGCATCGCTAAAATTAAATAGTCCCAAACACAAAGATTAACATTGGCTAAAGTTTTGTGATTGAAATGGGTGACAGTAGGCGCATTGGTAGAATTTAATTTTAATTTAATTTTGTCTATATTTATTTTATTTCAAGTAATTTTATGGAAATAAGTGATGTCCATTGCAGTGCAGTGCTTCGGAAATGTTTGCTCAGTCGCATACTGACGGATTCTTTGCTGTCCTACGCAAGAAGACTGCCTCGTTGCTCAGTAGGATACGGGCGAGCGCTGTCCGCATTCAGATACTTCCCGCGGCCTTCACCAAATCGTCAGTCCATGTAGTGGGGGGCCTGTGTCCACTTTATTCTGCTACCCTGAAGGGATTTTAGTCCAGTTGAGTTAAATTATGCTTGTAAGTGTTAGGTCCTCCTAACCTAACCCACTCCTGTGGGTTCACCACAATGATCCTGCGGTCCTTGGTCGTTGAGAATCGAATGGTAACCTTCGAATCCGCAGTCTGACACTGTGTACTGTACTGTGTACTGTATCTACTGTGTAATGTACTGTGTACTGTGCTGTGTACTGTACTGTGTACTGTACAGTGCACCGTACTGTGTACTGTGTTGTGTATTGTTTTGTGTACTGTACGGTTTACTGTACGGTGTACTGTACTGTGCACTGTACTGTGTACTGTAGCGTTATGTAAATACAGCCAAATTTTTTGACCTTGAGATTAGCACGTTCATCAAACAAAATATCGTATAGCTAAGTTAAGCTACTGCATCCAAGCTACGCTGTGGTAGCAAGATTTAACCTTATCCTTTCACTAGCTCCATAATTTGTGAGCAATAAACGATACCGCTTTATGTAATAAGTTTATTACTATTATGTATAATTCATCATTAAGTCTTCATTAAAGTGTGGGAATTCAGTGTCTTAACATTCATAGTCTTTAACTTATTTTAATTAGTAACTGTTTAAATGTTTCAACGCTTACCTTGCCAATAAAATTTAAATAAACCAACTATTAAAATGGAAGCTT